TGTAATTTTTAATTTATATTCAAAAAAAAAAAATAATACATATATATGCGAAACGTTATCAATCAATTTTTTTATCAAAATATTATCATTTATTTTTCTTTATAAAAAGAAATCTGTCTCAATAAATATGTGTTGGTATTTAATACATTATTTATGTTATGTAAAACTGGTTAGTACTGAACCAACAAAAAAGATCATATCCATTTTTAAAATAATCGCAGTAAAGTATTAATGATAGCTGCTTGGTTGATACTAAAAACATAAACGGCATGTTAATTATACCGATTCCTTTATTATTTATTCTTTGAAAAAAAATTATGAGATACCAATGTCAGTCTTATTATTATTTCATAATTTGTATTTTCTTTCTTATTTTCTTTTTTTTATTTATTTATAAATAACAAGTTTCGGTGCAATTAGTCATCTGATCGTTTTACTAATATCATTTTATGCTTTTCAATAATTCATATGACTTTTCAATACTTCAAATGACAAATTTGGTTAAATTTCATTTATTTTCATGTCATGTTTGATTTTATTTTCAATATTAAATCTCATGGTCGAACGTTTTTATCGAACACACAACATATGCGCATTTATATATTTCCTGTTGCAAACGATTGCACTTGGCTTCGATTCAAATGAAAAAAGAAAAAAAGAAAAAGAAAAAGGAAAAGAAAAAAGAAAAAGAAAAAGAAAAAAGAAAAAGAAAAAAGAAAAAGAAAAAAGAAAAAGAAAGAAAATCCTTATAACAAATTCCTATGGAACAATTATTATTATCTTTCTATTTTATATTTTTTTTTATTTTATTTTTTTTTTTGTTTATTTGTTTTTTTCCTTTCTATTATTTTTATTCTATTATTATTATCATCCTATAATCCTTATTATTAATTAATAATTATTTCTATTATTTTTTATTATATTTATATTATTATTATTAATTATATATATATACATATATATCTTTTTTTCTTTCTATTATTTTCTTTAGATTATTATTTTCCTATAATCATTGATATTATTTAATAATTATTTATATTATTTTTAAATTATTATTATTATTAATTCTACATATTTTTTTTTCTTTCTCTTATTTTCTTTCTATTATTATTACCCTATATATATGTATATAATCGTTATTATTATGTATTAATTATTTATATTAATTTTAGTAATATATATTATTATTATTATTATTAATTATAAATTATTTATATTCTTTTTAATTATATATATATATATATAATTATTATTAAATATATATTATTATTATTATTATTATTATTATTATTATTATTATTATTATTATTATTATTATTATTATTAATTATATATGTATACGTAAGTTTTTCTTTTAACGTGAAAATTATTTTTAAATGTTAACGTGATAAAAAGAAAATAAGTAACAACGTTACATATTACAATGATTCGAACGATATTTTAATTATATTTTCTTATTTAAGTTATACGTAAATAATGACGTGATAATTTTATTATGCATACACTTTGTACTTTACTTAAACCTTGAACTATTACCTTTTAAACCAATATGTATCCAGCGTTAATCACATTAAAAAAAAAAAAATATATATATATATATATATTTGTAGGATGTTTATCGATATCTTAATTCACAGAAAACAAAATCATATTACATTTAACATATTTCAATATGTGCATTCGTTACGTAAATTGGAATAAAACCCATGGTCATATTATCTTCTTTCTCTTTCCATTGAAATTTTCCATTAAATCGGAATAAAGAGAATTATCAATAATTCGTATGATAATTCTTGCACTTTAGATCTTTCATTAATCTCAATACATAGAAAGTTTATCAACTAAAGTGACACAATACATATCTAAATGTTATAACAATTTTATAAATAGTTTTACATCACATAAGCCATTATCGGTAAAAATATGTTTATCTCCTATAATGAACCGTATACATACACATATATATATATATATATATATATATATATATATATATATATATATAGTACATATGGATTACTTATCAGTAAATATTATTCTTTCGTTTCTCGTTTTGTATCAAAATAAATAGAAAAAAAAAAGAGAACACAAAATGTCGATTAATAATAATCAATCATTATCAGAATTAAAAAAAAAAAAGAGAGAAAAAAAATAGTATCTATCGTAGGAAATATTTGTAATTTATATTATGTATATGTACCTAGTATATATAGATAAGATATTTAATTTATTAAAGTATTTTTTTATTTTCGTCGAATTTATATTTCGATCATTTCTATTGATGAATAATATTTTTTTTTGTCTCATCTGTTATAAATTAACTCGAAGTAAATGATACCAATTTAGGTAAAACTATTTCATAATTTATATTGATAGATAATATTTTTTGTCATTTGTTATAAATTATCACGAAAATGATAAAAATTGTAGATAAAGATTATGGTAATATTTAAAATACTTAATATTTATAATAATACTATTATAATAATAAATAATAAATACTATTATTATTATTATTATTTATATAATTATATGATTATTAATATTAATTACATTTAATTATTAATTAATTATATAATATATATTATTATTATTATATATAATTATAGTAATAGTATTTATTATTAATTATTATAATATATACTATATAAAATATTATTAATTATAAAATATTATAAATTATATATAATTTTTACTATATTTAATATTATATATAAATAATTAATTATATTATAATATATATTGATAATTATTTATACATATTATAAGTATAATATATATATATATATACTTTATATTATATTATATGCTATAAAAAGTATATACTATATTATAAATATATAATATCTATATACTTTATATTAAATTATATACCATAATAATAAATAACTATTTAATCATTAATTAGACAATATTATTAATCGAATCATAGACCAGTTATTACGAACTATCTTAACAATGTTTGCAAATATATACATACACACGAATGGAAGCTCGTACCTATTCAAACTAAACGTTGATACGATAATGTAACTGCGAGTTTAAAGTCATAAGATCGACCTTAATAAGTTAAAAGGTGTTGTAATCGTGACTCGAATCGTTTATAAACGTTAGCTAAGAACAAAATATATATGAAAGAAGAGTGTGTGTTGTCTTTGTTTGTGTGCACTTGGAGTAACAATATCAAATCATACATACATATATATATATATAAAATAAAAAAAGGAAAAAAAATAAATAAGAACGATGTATGACATGATAAAGAAAAATATATGAGATAAGAATTTAAAACGAGATGTGATATATTTTTATTATTCAATATCACAAGAGTTCTTACTTGATAGGGGGTTAAACGTCATATCTCGTTGGTTTATTTAGATGATTCTTACCCTATCTACATAACTACTACTACTAATACAATCTAGATATACATAGGACAATACATACGTAGCAACTTGGACACAGGTAACAAGAGAACGAGGCCGTTTATCCGTCTAACGGGCAGATTACATGCGACTAATTGCCGCATAATCTCTCTGATGGCGTTCACGTGAAATTAACCGATTCTATGAGGATCAAAGATTAAAGGAACTTTGTTATAGAACATCAAAGATGATCATCTAAGTCTTTTGAAAAAATAATTTTACTTTTTAGATTGATATAATTGTAAACAAAATTCTATATCGATTAATTGTGATATCGTTAAGAGGCACCACTAGAGTGAAATTTTGAAAATATTGATTTCCTTGTTGCCTATTTCGATAGTCCATATTTTTAAAAATAACATACTTCAATTTCAAATGCATATCTCAAATAGTTTGAGTTACAGTCATCTAATATTTCTTCATTTATAACGATCAAATCACTAACTTAAACTTTAAAACGCATTTTTCTCGAAACTATTAAGTGAACCGGAAAGTAATGTCGCTTTTTAACCTCAAAATTCGAACGAGTAAATTTTTCAAACAAAAACGTTTTTATTATTAATCAATAATTCAATTATTTATATTAAATTAATTAATCACGTTGTGTCAACAATCTTTTTCTATTTGGTACGCAAATTTTTTTAATATCGTAACGATAAAAATCATCAATCGGTTTTTTGATTAAAATATTAATATCAAAATTTGACGTGCGTAGTAACGACATTACTTTTCGGTCCTCCTAAATACATTTTCCAAAATTTGCTGCAGTTGCAACTCGAAGACAAATCATCCGATCGATTTGATTCTTGTTGCAACTTCTTTTATATATATTTCTGCAAACCATGAACCGTCCAATTTTTCGATCGAATAAAAAATGTAATTTTAGCAGGCCCAAAAATCATCAAATTTTCGTACAAAATTTGAAACGTTTTTTGTATACAACTTTTTGTTTCAACTGAGGTTCATGGTACGGGAAATTCCTTCTAGTTTAATAAACTTTTTGGTCTTTCTGATTTCATGCACTGTGAAAGTCACTATAACTGCAGCAGTGAGGGGGATTTGGAAGATTGCGAATAAGTCGTTTAATTTTCAATTTGTTTGATTCAAAAATTTGGTCATACATTAATTACATATCCACGAATATCGCCTTAAAAAATTACAACATTCTTTGCAGTAGTTTTATTTAAAAAAAATTCCAAATAATTATCTTTTTCTCAAGCGTCACACTAATGATGCCCCCATTATTAACAACGAAACTAAACGTCGATTACAAAATGATTTTGTGTAACCGTTTAGAAAAAGCTGATTAATACAAGATATGAGAGAAAAACAAATCTTATTTCACATTTGCATTGAAATATGTTATGAAGAAACTAGTTTATTCAAAGCAATACATTAAACTATACTAACAATTTTCTAACATGTAATATTTTGGTTAGATCGTTCAAATATCTCTCTCTCTCTCTCTCTCGCGTGTTATTCTTTTTTTCTCATCTCTCTTCAATTTTTCTTCGTTGTATGTAAATACGTATAAAACAAAAACAAAAAAAAACAAAGAAAAAAGATAAAGTAAAAGAAAAATTGCAAAAATTGCTTTAAACAATATTTCAGAGTGCATGATTTACAGCGAGCAATTTGCATCCTAAAACGGCTTTGTAGAAAAAGAAAGGGAGAGAGAGAAAGAGAGAGAAAGAGAGAGAAATAAAGGGGAGGGGAGAAAAAAAAGAGACAAGAAAATAAACATTCAACTCTCCGATTTGAATTTTAAAACAAGTCGGTTGAGATAAAGTATACGACATATTTCAATACTTTAGACGAGAATCCCCATTTCACTATCGCGAATTACAGTAATTTTAAATGTAAAATTAAAACGACAATCTATAGTGTTTTTTTACGTTATATAATAATATCCGTCGAAGATTATTAAATAACAAAATAAAATATATATGTATATAATCAATTTTGTTTAACATCGAAATATCGATTTTGCAACGCAACATTGACGTAAAAAAGATTCATCATCTTCGTTGAAGGAGAAGGTCAGTCATGAGATGAAATGAAATGAAATGAAATGAAATAAAATGAAAAAAAAAAAAAAAGAAGAAAAATTGAAGTAAAGGCAGAAGGGGAGAGGGAGAGGGGGAGAAGAAAATGACGTAAATTAGTTAAATCGTTAGCGAAGAAGATCGGAAGAATTATTATTTTTTCGACGAAATTACACGCTTACAGTTGTTATTACAATTTGACGAGATGAGAACGTAACAGCCGTGTTTCGCTTAATTATTATTCAGTTATTATACTGAACACATACTGAGACTAAAATGCTAGTTAAAGAGTTATTTTCGCAAACAAGGATATAGTATAAAGAATCGATCTATCGAGAGATAGATGAGAAGAGATATACTCTTCTCGACGGTATAGTATTACGTAATAAAATAAAATTATCGCGCGTTGAACATTGCATGAACGAAACAAGCGTGAAACGTGTAATGAAAATGAAGGAAAAATAAAAAGAAAAACCCAAAGATTTATTGGGGAAAAAAAAAAAATAAAAAAAATAATAATTAACAACAAATAAAAAAAAGAAACAAACAACGTTTCTTGTGAATTTTAATCGATTTATGGTACATACATATAATAATATATACGAATATATTTATTGAAAACTGAACTAAGGGCAGGGGGCTTTATGAAATATTAATTACTGTATATTGTTTTGACCGGAACCGCAACATGCGGAGGAGCATTATCATGGAGGAGAACAATTTTGTCGTGTTTGGAGTAGTAATAATCGGCTCAATAATCTCATTAATTGTGTTTGGTAGAGGACTCCAGGTAAAAATTTCGCTTGGATTTGAGCAACTCGTAATACACGACACCCCTGTTTTCGTACGTTTTTCGGCCCTTCCACTGCGATATTTGTCTTTTACGCCAAAGTCACCGTGTTTAAACTTTTGAAACCACTCACGACAAATTCTCTCACTTAAAGCAGACTTATCATATGCTTCTATAAGCAATCGATGCACCTCAGCTTTAGATTTTTCTTCAATTGAAGAAGTAAATTAAAAGTTGCCGCAAATGATGCTTATTTGGAACAAATGTAGATATTCTCGGAGAAATAAAAATGATATGATACTGATACGAAGTTAATTATACTTCAAGCTAATGTTGTTACTGTACTTTATGCTGTTTTTTAATTAAAATAAACAAATGAAAGGAATTGAAGAATTTCTTATTGCAATATTATATCATTAGTTAAACATAATCAATTGAGAAACGTAATTAATTAAAATTTCGACAAAATTTAAAAACTTTTTAAACGACAATGTTCTCAATGAATTAATTAATGAAAAAGAAAGAGAGAGAGAGAGAGAGACAGAAAAAAGAAAAAGAAAATGTTAATTATATGTACGGTCCGACTTAAACATAATTGTTTCACTAAATTCATCGTGTTTTAAACAACTTTGACAATTGAAAAGAAAAGAAATAAATACGGTACTGTACTTTAACGTTTCCTTACCTTTAATTTTCTTTCTTGGACCTTTTCACCCCTGTCTCTCTCTCTCTCTCTATTTTTTCCCACTTTATTTTCCCCTTTTTCTTTGCTTCAAAGCAAAGTGTAAAAGTTCTCTCTTGGAAAATACAGTCGAGTGGCTCCTTTCTCGATCCTTCGACTATAAGTACAGGTAATTACCTGCCATAATTATCCTTGTTGCACAAGTTAGATAGTTCGACATCCCGAGTGTCGTTCACCCTTTATTTATCTCTCTCTCTTTCTCTCTTTCTCTTTATCTTTCTTCTTTATTTCTTTCTATTTTTCGTATTACCTTATGAACGGAACTTTTATGAACTATTTGTACTATGTTATAAACATTCAGTACTATTACTAAATGGATATGTAATACAAAGGTCTAAAGAACAAAATTTTATCAAAAGTTTGTTATAAACAAGTACTGTAAACATTCTACGATATCAGAAATAAACATGTGTACAAGACTGACTGAGACTATTAATATAAAACTAAATTTTGTAATGATCTAAAATAAAATAGTGTGAATTTGTAATATTTTCATAAAGCACGAAATACGATCTCATTATTTTAACAAATATATTTCATTTTGTAGTTGCAATTATTAAAAAAAAAAAAAGATATGAAAAAATTTATCCTAAAAGATTGAAAGTAGCTTTTCTATTTCCTCATTCGTTGATTATTGGAAACTCCAAGTCATTGTATTATTCCATACTTTGTAAGCAAATGTACATACGCATCTGAATACACATACTCGTACATTCACACTTAATTATAAAATGTACAGGGTGATTCACCAACTCTTGCCACGTAAATAGTACCGAAAGTATGATAGTAGCAGAAAAGTAAATAAGAATAAAAGTTGCAGGAAAAATTCAGGACTACAATATGACATTAGGTTGAGTCATTTTCGAGATGTATCGGTCAACTTTGATTTGTTTGAATACAATGTTATATTTGAATATTTATTTTCGGATATCAAAAGTCAAGATAAGTCCAATGATCGTAAGAGCTGGTGAATCACCCTGTATAAGGATAGATAAATGGAGATGGAAGTACAGTTGAATATATTAGAAGCTACTGTACTTCCAAACAAAGTTTATTTCATCGGTAGTAGTCGTCAGTGCATGTACAAGTCTGAAATAGTGTTGAGTCTTTAAATAAATCCTAGATTGTCTTTGAATCAAAGTAAGATCAAAAATTTCTTATATTTACGGTTTCATCATATAGTTTTATATTCTTAAAAAAAATAACATTATATTTTTGAATACTCGTACGTTTCATTTTCTCGATTTTTTTTATATTAAAATTTTTTCATAACTATAGTTTATACTTGTCGAATCTCAAAGGTAATAAACTGTGTCATCCATCCGTGTTAACTTTTCAACGTTGCAAACACCGTACGCGTCCTATATGGATTATGTTAATCCATCTTAACGAACCTACATTTGTTTCAGTTTCAATACTAAATCATACACGATGGAATTAATTTGGAATATATTATGAATATATTGTTCCTCGCGTTATCTATGGATTTATATTCTCTTTTTTTTTTTTTTTAGCAAAGAAAATTTAACGATAATCTACGAAGGAAGATATAGTAAAAATGTAAATATTATACGTTTTACATTTGTCGTAACAGTAACGTCTTTCATTAATTGTATTTAACAAATATGTAAATTTATTTAAAGTGTTAGACATTTAACGAGTTAACAATTGTTTACTATTATCAAATAAATATAATTTCTTATTATTTGTGTGAAATATCAATATTTAAAATTCATTAATGAGATAAAAGTTCGTTCGCAATATAATACACGAATTCATTCAATTTATATTTTCATTTTAACATTAGTATCAATTATTTACTTACAAAAGATAAAACACTTGTATCGACAAATAGTAAAATTCGTCATAATATTTGCATAATTATTATTATTATTATTATTATTATTATTATTATTATTATTATTATTATTATTATTATTATAATATTATTATATTTACATTTACAACGTTCAATAAAAAGTATATTTTATTAATACACGTAGTTTCACATAGCAGAAGAAAATGAATATTGAATAATTTTATGAATAACTCTTCGTCGTTTTAACAGGTTTTAAAAAGTTGGTGCAAGAGGAAGGCGCTATGAAGAAGATCGTAATTACTGGTCTGGCAGAAATGCTGGGCACATCGATATTGGTGTTTCTTGGATGTATGGGATGCGTTGGTAGCCTTGGTGTCATACCTTCTCATTTACAAATAACTTTAAATTTTGGTTTGAGCGTTATGATTGTCATTCAGGTGAGTTCAAATATACATTGCATTACATTAATATCGAATTAACAGTAAAGTACCTACGTAAACAATATTTTACATTAATAAAATTTGTAATGAACGTTACAACATACTTTTACTTAACGTTTGTTATGAATTTAATTAGTTGGAAAAAAAAAAAAAAAACAAAGAAAAAGTAAATTTGTTTCTTTTCTCGCATAATTTCTGTCGCATTGTTTTACGCCTTAATGCACAAAGGGGTTAAATTCATTTTCTCTCTTACATTCTCTTCGTCTTCTTTCTTTTTACAGTGTTTCGGACACATTAGTGATGCCCATGTTAATCCAGCCATTACAGTAGGTTCCGTGGTACTCGGTAAAAAAACTATCCCGGAGGCTATGGTTTATTTCTTGGCTCAAGTGTTAGGCAGCATCATGGGTTATGGAATGTTAAAGGTAGTTATTTAAAAATTAACCATGATAAATGATCGTTAGAATATTTTGACCATAATAATCAAAATTATTGTATGTATGATTCAAATATACAGGTAGTTACACCCACGGAATTTCTCAAAGTTGGAAATGTTGATGATGCGGATAACGTTTGCGTAACTTTTATTAATCCAAACATATCAGCGATTCAAGGACTTTTACTCGAAGGTATATCGACATTCGTTTTGATGTTGGTTGCCTGTGCTGTTTGGGATATCAGAAACAAGATGAATACGGATTCTGTGGCATTAAAGTTTGGTTTCACGGTAGCAGCTTTAGCTACAGCTGTTGGCCCTTACACTGGTTGCAGTATGAACCCAGTAAGGTCACTGGGTCCAGCTATTTGGAATAATCAATGGAGTCATCATTGGATCTATTGGTTTGGTCCTATTGGTGGTGCTTTATTCAGTTCGATATCTTATCGCACAATTTTCGGCGTTCAAAATTCAGACGAAGAGGAAATTACACCGGAATCTGTTGCACTTAACAGTGCTGATATTCCAATGAAATTAGAAGTTAGAGAGGTGAGAGTTTAAATAATAAATTTGTTAATTATTCGACAAAATATTATTATCATCATCAATCGAGCCATTTATTTTTCATTCATTTGTCAAATTGATGAGACTATAATAATTGGATAAATAGATAATTTTATAAAAAATGACAGAGAGACTAGATGATCGATCGACTTTTATTTACTTCAAGTAATTATTTCATTGAATTTATTGTTAAATATTATTTTTATCTAGATAAATTGATTGAAGTACTTATTGCTAGTAAAACAATATTATAAAACGGTTAGTGGAAATTTATCGATTGGAGAATTAATCAAAATTGTGATAATTACACAAACAATTAGATTAAATGAAACATAAAATTCTAAGAGATAAACAAATCATTTTAAAAACTAATTCAAGTGAAATATATTAATATAATAAGATGAAAGCAAAAGGCAATTTTTGCAACGATAATATTATCATGTCATGCTATCTTTTGATAATCAGGTTAATGAGAAATTCGATCGATACGATATTAGATTAGGCGTATATCGAACGTAAGATATTCATGAATGTGTTATATATATATATATCTATATTTACCATACATAACACGTATGTATAAAACAGATGTGCTATCGCTTTAACATAAGTCAAGAAAAAATTTGACGCACGTACGACGATGGAATTCTAGTTTATCGTGTCTAGTAGATATCAAAAGTATTTTTGGGGAAAAAATTTGAACATCGTCGTTACGATATCTTGTGTCTGTTACATGACAAAAATATTGATCAAATTATAAAAAAAATAAATAAAAAGAAAATAACAATATTAGATAGAAGAATTTGAGATTATTATAAAAAAAAATAAAAAATAAAAATAAAATAGGATTGTAATGACACATTGTCAAGATAGTCAAAAAGATATCAATCTCATCTTATCAATATTTCTTATTAATTACGTTTACCTAATAAAACGTATTAACCATTTTTAATCTTCACAAAATCTTAAGGGGCACCACTAGTGTGAAAATTTTTTTTTTTTTTTACATATTTTGATAAACTATACCTTTAAAAATTTAGTCACATATTCATTACATATCCACAAATATCTCCTTAAAAAAAATTAAAACATTCCATGCATTAGTTTTCTTTCAAAACAAATTCTGAAAATTCACCTTTTTTTTTCAAACGGTCACACGTTAGTGGTGTCCCTTTAAACATTTTTAATCTTCACGAAATCTTAAAACGTGCATTTAAAATACCTGAGAAACGTGGTCTTTTATCGTTTAAAGTGTAAATGGTATGCACGGTACATATGCATCAAGGTTTCTTTTATACAACAGATTATCTTGTGAGGGTCGATTGTAAAGACCGATGATAAATCGTGAGCTACCTCTGGGTTACCTAGAAGTAAGTTCAGTAAAACTGGTTTTATGGGACATTACACGAGAACTGGATTTAACACGTTTGTAAAGCTTACCGCCCCCCCCCATCACCTTTTGCTAGCTGATACATTTCCCAAAGGATATAAAGAATAATATAAAAACGCAACATCAAACATTATTATTATCTTTTTTCGTTGTTGATCTTTCTAATTTAACGTTCATTGAACGTTATTTGTCATATCAATGTTATTTTTATATGTTTTATTTTCTATTTGCTATTTTTATATTGAATTCTTTTTGAAAAAAAAAAAAAAAGTCAACCTGTTTCTCTCTACCATGTTTTAATTTTTAAACAACGATTCAATAAATAATAATTATACTAAGTATTAGAAAAAAAGTTGAAAGCTAATGAAATTATTATACATTTACATTTTCATTTGTAACTCTATATACATATATTAGGGTGGGTCAAAAAAATGACTTTTTTTTTTTTTCAAGTGCCACGGAAAAATGGGTTGGACCTTAAAACAATTCTCACCAAATATGAGCTCTTAATTTTAATAGGAAAATCCTCCGCGTCGCAGTTTTTTATTTTTTTTTTTCAGTCCAATAGATTAAAATTCATACCTCATTATTTATTGATTGTACAGAAAAATGTTTTAGACAAATTTTGTAGGAAATTTAATGCTCTACAAAAATGGTATCTTATATTTTTTTCGTAAACCTCACCATTTGAATGATATTGAAGATTTAAGTTTGATTATTTTAAGACAAATTTTGTCTTTTGAATTGTTTTAAGGTGTCTAGCAACCCATTTTTCCGTGGCACTTGAAAAAAAAAATAAGTCATTTTTTTTACCCCCCCCCC